TAATATCTTAAGTATATATACTTAAGTTCTTTCTTTTATAATCCTTTCTTTTATAATCTTTTCTTTTATACTTTATACTTATTAATTTATACTTTTAATATAATACTTTTAATAATTCTTTTCCTTTTAATAATTTTTCTTTTTATTTTTATTATCCTTCTTTTTATCCTTCCTTAAAAAAGATTAAGTTTATTTATTAAGTACTTATAAAGCTAAGATAAGATTTAGGGCTTATAATCCTCCTTTTTATTTTTATTATTCTCTTTTTTCTTATTCTTATTTTTATAAGAAAAAGAATGCTTTATAAATAAGTACTTATTACTTTTATTACTTTATAATATAATAATAAAGATATTTAAAGGCATTTAATAATAATTAAGAAAAGTTACTTTATTTTAACAAACTTTTTATTAAAAATTTAATAAAAAATTTATTAAAATAAAATAACTTTCCTTAATTATTATTAAAATTAATAAATTCCTTATTATAAAATATACTTATTATTATAAAATAAAGGTAAATATTAAAATTTATAAATATGCTATATAATTATTAATTATCTTATATTAAATTACTTAAACTAATATTTTATATATTATTAACCTTTATATAATATAAATAATTATTATTATTTAAAATAGCTAGGAAATTCTTATTATTAATATTCTCCTTATTAATAAAAAGAATCTTTATTTAAATAACACCTTTCTTTAGCTTTAAGAACATTTTATTTTATTAATTTAGCTTATTAACTAGCATATTTTATTCTTTTATTATTAAGTTAAGAAAATTAAAGCTTTATTACCTTAATTATTACCTTATAACCTTATTAATATATAGCTTTTACCTAAATTAAAGAATATTATCTTTAAGATTTTTAAGTATATATATCCCTTTTAAATAAATATTAAAGAACTTCTTAATAATCTTATATATAATTAATATTTATAATTTATATTAAGTAAGCTAAGAAAATATTAATTAAACATTATAAATAAAGTTTTTATTATATTTAATATTTATAATATAAAAATTATTAATATATTTATTAACTTAATTAATAAGCTTAAAGCTATATTTAGCAATAATATACTTAATAAACTTAGCTTTAAAAATATTATTATAAACTTTTATATTAAGGGTTACCTTTTTAATTAAAATTTATATTATATTAAGCATTTTAAGTTTATAATTATATAACTTCTTGCCTTAAAAAAAGGCTAAAAGCTATATAATAATATTATAAATTAAATTATAATTATTATGCTAAGTAGCCTTATTAAAGATAAGCAATATCTTAATGCTTATTATATAATAATATTAACTTTAAAACTTAATATTAATTACTTTTTTATTTTTATATTTACTTATTTAGCCCTTATAATTAAAAATTAATTAATAAATATTATTTAAGATATTATTAAGCATTTTATTAAAAATTTACTTTATTATATTATAAAATTATTAAATATTAGCTTTGCTAGCTTTAATTATTAATAATTTGCATTAAATTAAAGCATTAATTATAAAAATAATAAGCTAAATATTAAAATTATAATAAAATAATAATATAATCTTATAATACTTAATATCCTTTTTATTAATAAATTTAATTTATATAAGTAATAATATATTATATAAAATAATAATAAAGAACTTTATTTTTAAGTTTTTAATATTATAATAATTATAAAAAAAAAGCTTAATATAATTTAACTTAATATAAAAGCTAATAAGGAAAGCTTTTATTTACTTTTAAATCTTATAAATATTTTAAAATTTTTATTAATTATATTTAATATATTAAATATAATTAATAATCTTTTAATTATATTTAATATATTAAATATAATTAATAATCTTTTAATTATTATATATTAAAATAATATATATTTTATAAAAATCTTTATTTAAATATAAGTATTTCTTAAAAAGTTTATTATATATATTATAAATATTAAAGATTTTACCCTTATCCTTATATATAGCATTAGCTTAAAAAAAAAGGGTTTTAAAAAACCTTATTTTAATGCATTTAATATTAAATAATAATAAATTTAAGTTTTCATTATTATAAGTAAATAATTAATATATATAATATAAAAAAAGCTACTTAAATACCTTATTAAAACTTTTTTATTATAAGAAAAGGTATTTTTAAATTATTTATATAATAAACTATTATTTTAAGTTAAAATTTATTTATTAAATATATTTACTTTTTTAACTAAATATTTTAAAGTATATTATAATTATAAGATTTATAAATTAATTATACTTTTTATTAATATAATTTTAAATTTTATTTAAGAAATTAAAATTATTATATTAAATTATTATCTTTAAATTATATATATATTAATAAAGATTTTAAGTAATAATTATTTATATATAATTTAATAACTTATTTAAAATTTAATATAATAAATAAATACTTATACTTATAAATATTAATTATAAAATCTTAAATTAATTATTTATTTTAAATATAAACTTCTTACTTAATTAAGGTAAAGAGTTTATATTTAATTAAAAATATATAATTTTTATTTCTTAATTAAGCTAAAATTATAATATTTTTAATATATTATATAAAGAATAAATATTTATATTTATATTTATTAATTATAACTTTAAGTATTATAAATTATATATATAAATATATTAATAAGTATATTAATTATATAAATATTTATATTATTAAAAAGTAAATATAACTTAAAAAGCTTTTAAAGAAAAAAGCTTTATTTATATATAAATTTATATAGAAAATATAATATTATAAAGTAAATTTATAACTTTTTTTCTTTATTAATAAGAAAATTAAGGATTTTTTTATAATTTATATATTTATTTTAAAAAAGCTAAAAAAAAGTATAAATAAATTTAATATTTTTTATTTTATAATAATTTATATATAATTAATATTATATTATATATATTTAGCCTTAGTAATTAATTTTAAAGTTACTTTTAAATTACTTAATATATTTAAAAGTTTATTATTTTTATTAAATAAGTTAAAAATTAAAAATAATTTTTTTTTAAAAAGCTTGCTATTTCTTTATATAAAGTTATAATAAAAGAAATATCTTTTTTATCTTTATTTAAATTATAAATAATAACTTTAAATAATTAAAAAGCTTTATAAATAATAAAATATCTTAAAGTATTTATAATAATAAATATATAATAAAGATTTTTTAATTATTTAATAAAAAATATTTAAAAATTATAAACCTTATTATTTTTAATATTTTTACTTATAAATTTATAAAGCTTTTTTAAAGCATTAAAATTTTAAAAATAATATTTTTTAATATAATTTTTATATTCTTTTTATTATTAAAACTTTAATTATTATAATAAAAGCTTTTAAATAAACTTTTTTTATAAATAATTTTTAACTTAAAATTTAATTATATAATATTCTTTATATTAATTTAAGAATTTTTATAATTATATTATATTACTTAACTTATATTTATAAAGTTTAATAAATTTAAAAAAAAAATAATTTAAAGGTATTAATATATAAATTATTAAATATAAAAGGAATTATTAAATATTAATAAGTTATTAAAGAATTAATAAAGCTTATATATTTTAAATAAAAATTAATTATTATTATTATTAATATAATAATTAAAATATAATATAAATAATATTAAAATAATAGCTTAATTTTATAAATTTTAAAATATATATTAATATTTAATAATAATATATTTTTATAATAATATAAGTAAGTTTTAATTTTATTAAATAATTATTATACCTTAATTATAATTATAATTATAATTTAATTATAAACCTCCTTTACTTATATAATATTCCTTACCTTCCTAGCCATAGTTATATAAGCCTTAGCAAGCTCCCCACCAAAATTTAATGGGGAGTCTGCGTTTAGAAATGCGCCAAGTCATGCGGGCTGGAGGAGGTCTGTGTGTCAGAGATAACAATGCAGGGCGTTTATCCACATCGGCCCCAGTGCCCCTGTCCCTGTGCCGTGACGGGCGGCCGAGGCACTGCTGCCTGCACGGTGGAAGCACGACACACGCCATGCGCTCCAGGATGACGGGCGGGCAGTGGCCTGCAAGCTCAAGGTGTGCGGCATGGGGAGCAAGTGCGAAGGCCGAAGGGGCAGTTCATTTGCAGGCCGCCCGCTAAGCGACCGCATCTTGCACTATTCGAAACTTGGGCGGTCTGCCTTTCTTACACTTTGGTTTTTGCTATTACTTGGTGCCAAATCCATGTTGCACTGTACCTCTTGGTCACACAGTACCTCCTGCATGGCAGCTTGGGGCGTGTGCGGAGTGGGCTGGAGTGCTCTGATCCCGGAAATCACCTCTTCTGCCGGTTGATTCCTCGAGACTCTCACGGCTGGCAAGGATCCAAATTTGGGGGCCCTGGATTGTCAGCAGCAGGAGGCGGCAGGAGCTGTGTCTTGAGGAAGGAAGCCGGCGTGGTCCATCTTCCATGCAACGGAGCAAGAGCAGGCGTGCAGCAAGGCTTCCCGATCGGAAGGAAGGAAGGGACAGCCCCCACCGCTGCCTCCCTCTCCACCCGCCTGGCCTCCTGCTAGCGCTCCTAAGCGATCCGCTAATCTCGAATCAAAAGTTCAGCTCCGACTCCTTCCCACCCCCTCCCGCCCGCACACCCCCCTCACCAGCCCAACCAACATGCATCGCAAGTGCCACCGGGGCCACGCGAGGGCTGGCAGAGCCTCGCCCTCACCTTGTACAATAAACATCCTGCGCCCCTTTGGCGGAGTAGCGATGCATTTCCTCTGGTCTCCTCGTAGCTGCTAAAGTGCTGTATTGATCTCCAGCCCCAGCCCCAAATCCCCCACCCAATACAAGACCTGTCTCTCTTTTGGATCCCGCTCTCGAGTCTGCTCAAGTGACCCATTGTTCCCGCTTCAAAAACACCACGGGTCTCTCCACTCTTGCCCAGAGCCTTCACTCCCGGCCCCGAGCCGTACATCGCAGAACCTCGCCATGGCCGACGTCGCGACTCCCGACTCTGTCGCCGCCAACTCTCCCAATGGCGGTGGTGCAAGAATTGGCCGGCCTCCACAATGGACAGAGTCTCGGTCCAGGAAACTGGCCAGGCTGTACATGTATACCACCTTACCAATGGAGAAGATCATCAAGGCCCTCTTTCCCAACGATGATGTCAAGTATGGCCTCCACGGAGCTGCTGTCTCCATCTGACCTGTCCCATGTGCGATACTGATGACAGCTCAGGAAAAACTCGGCGCAGAAGACCCTGCACAAGATGGTCGGTCACGATCCTCGGCCCCTACGGCCCGTCGACAGGAACGACATGAATACTCGCTTCAAGCTGCTCCACAAGCGCAGCCAACGTCGACGGCAGAGCGATGGGACACCCATTGACCAGGAAGACCGTGTCGTGGCAGGATTGAAGGAGGAACTCGCCACCCCGGCCTTCTCAGATGTGTCCCGTTTTGACGATTCCGCCACGCTCAAGAGCCCCCATATGGACATGCGGTTTGACTTTGCTTCGCCGAGTACCATTGATTCAGCCTCTCCGGGCCCTGTGTGGTCCGCCTTCCCAAAGGACGACGATCAACCTCCTTTCCAGCTTCCCTTTCCCCGCCCCCCTCGTAACGATACAGTCTTCACCCAGTCGACCCAAATGAGCACGGACAGTATTAAAAGCCTCAGGAACCGTATCAGCGTCTCGACCGTCTTTGCTAAGCAGGTGTCTGTCCTGATGAGCAGGCTCACCATCGGTAATTCTGAGAACGACGGGAACTCACCGTGCCGGACGCCGTCGGATTTCTCAACGCATCAGAGCCCCGTCTCAACCGGCCCAACGCCGCACCCAGGACTAGCTGTGCCTGGTGATTTCATGATCTCTCGGAAATATATGCCCCAGTGCCATGCGCAGAAACACTTCGCCAAATCCTCGGACGAAGGCGGCGTCCTCTGCTGGTGCACCATTGCGGACGAGACGGCGGACCTGCCTGAGGCCTTCTATATCACAGACAGGGGGGCCGATTGCGATCGGGCAGCAAGTGTCCGGCAAGGGTCTGCAGGTGCTTCATCTGCGGATCGGTTCGGCAACACTCCTCTCCATCTCTTCGCCGCATGGGATAATCAGATTGGAATCGAGACAACGTTTCATCTGCTCGAGTCGGGCCGCGCAGATCCCTCTAAGGTCAATAACGCGCACCAGACGTTCCTTCATGTTCTCAGCCCCATGTGGTTCTTCGGCACGAATGACCTCGGCGTCCCTCTGTACAAGCTCTTGAATTTCCTCTACGCACGCCACAAGAACTTGATCTACGCTCCCGATGTCTTTGGTCGGACTTTCTTCCACCAGATCGATCGGTTCGTGCATGATCCCCAGATTATTGAAAACATCACCCAGCACTATTGGTCGGCAATCCGGAGGGACGCTTTTGATATCAAGCCGCCCTCGCATGCTACCGATACATCCTTTGCTCCTCCGAGACGCACCGGTACGACGGCGCTCTCGCCCCTGGCCGAAGAGGCCCCAGAAGAAGACTTCACGAGCAGAGACATGGGTCTGGTATCTATTGTGAACGAGGCATACAACAATCCGTTTTTGGAGGACAACGAAGGGCGGAATGGGCTACACTGCTTGGCGGAAATGCCTTTTATCACCAGCAATCCCAGCAGTCCAGACCCCAACACCCCGAATCCATCTCAACCACCGAACACCAACACTAAGGGTTCACTCAAGCGAAAACACGGCAGGGACGACGCAGAACGTATAAAGCCCATCACCCAAAGACTCTCAGTCCTTTCAGGTCTTTTGACGCCGGTGAAACAGACAGCGTCACCCGATGTCAATCACTACGACCACAAGGGCAACACCGTTCTAATAGCATTCGCGGCACAACTCTCTGACGACCAGGACGACAAGAGCGGTCAGCACATTGGGAGAATACTCGATTTGCTCATCGACAACGGTGCTATACTCGACGCACGGAACCGCCAGGGTGAGACGGCTCTCCTGGTCGCTGCGAAACGTGGAAACAAGCACGTCGTCAGTAAGCTGCTCGACAAAGGTGCCAATCTACACGCACGAGACAAGTGTGGAAGGGCTATCATGGCTATTATTGACGCACAGATTGCGCTTTGCTCAAAGGATTTACCGTCATATGGGCGACTGGAGGCTGTTAGAGCAGCAGTGCTCGCCAAGAAGTTGGAGGAGAAGGGGGTAGAGGACGAGCCGACTTTTGTGGATGAGTGGACCTGGGCTTCGAGACGACAGACATAAGAGATCTTAAACACTGGGTCTGGTTCTTCGCGGGATACCATTCCGTCGTCCTTAGTCTCGGCTGGGTATACGTACCGTCATAAGTCATGACGTATTTATGAGTGACGCTTTTTCTGTATAGTACTTTGCTGATGGATACCCCTTTTCTTCACTTGGAAGTCATCAACAGGCGTTCTATGGCAATTGTTGGATCTTTTCTATCAAATGGGAGACTATCTGGTGGCGGTATTCGGTCTCGGATTGCAGTAGATATAGTTGAAACGGCACCTTTTAAGTACATAGCTTGCGCCAACAGCGAGCCAAATTTCATCAATGCATACCGTGCTTCAGGCATCCCATACTATTCTTATTTAATGTATGGATCCGTAAATAGCGGGCAGGCAGCTGCTTACATAAGCAGCGTTGCAGCCTAAAACACTAAAGGCATTGCCCTTTAAGTATAATTAGCAATTAAGCAACCTATATATCCATATCATATAGTTTATAGCATCCCTTATAATTATTGCAGTGCTATTTAATAGGTTAAGTATATAAAAAAGCATAAAAATAATTATTTTTATTAAGAAAACCTTATTAAAGCATTTATTTAATAAAAATCGTAATTATAAACCTTTGCGCTATTAATTAATAACCTTTCTTAAAAGCAATAACCTTTTAAGCAATTAAAACCTATTAAATTACCATTATTAACCTTATTTCATGCTAGCAATTTACTTTTAAAAAGCAACTTTATTAATTAATTTATATAATAATAGCATTTATATTAAAGTTATTACTTATAAGTAAATATTTATAAAGCTAATTAAAAGTTATTATTATGGGCTGGCTTTAAAAGGGCTGCAGGCTGGCTAACGCCTTCTTTCATAAGCTGCAAAAGCAGCAACTAATTAAGCCAAAAAGTACATAATAATTTAAGCTCCCTTAAATTATCTAGCCATATTATATAAGGCTTAGGTAATAGCCTAAACCCATTACATAGCCCCTTCCTTTAAAGCTCCCTCCTTATATATAATAATACAACTACCCCTAAGGCTTACCCGCAACATTACCTTTTTAAGCCAGGGATCTTCTTTATAAAAGGGGTGCCTGCATTTATAGTAAACATAACTTAAACCCTTAACCCTAAAGCTTGGATTATTTATTATAGGCTGGCCTTAAAGGGGCTGCAAGCTAACTAGCGCCTTCTTTCATAAGCTATAAAAGCAATAACCAATTAAGCTAAAAGGTATATAATAATCCAAGCTCCCTTGGATTATCTAGCCACACTATATAAGGCTTGGGCAATAGCCCAAGCCCATTACAATTATAATAATAAGCATTATAATACTCTTTATTAATAGCTAATAAGTAAGTTATAAGGTAAATAATTATTAAATAAGTATTAATAATAAAAAATTTATTAATTTAACGTTATTTTTATTAATTTTTTCTCTTTAATTATTATTGTTTTTACTTTACCTTAATATAGCTTTTCCTTTTTTTTTTAATATTATAGCTGCTTATATAAGTAATTATAACATTATAATTACTTTTATATATAATTATATTAATTAATTTATAAAAAAGGTTATTGCAAAGTAAAATAATATATAAATCGCCCTTATTACTTTTATAAATAACTTTAAAGCTATTAATAATAAGTTTAATAAATAATTAAAGAATCTTTAAAAATAGCTAAAAATTATTAATAATAAGGTAAATTAATATAATAATATTCTTTATGCTTAGCTTTAAAGCATTTTTATCTTTATTATTAAAGGCTAATTATATCTTTAAAGGTAAAATAAAAGCATTAAGCCTTTAAATCCATATTTTTATAATAATAATATTACCCTTACCTTTAAGTTTATAAATTATTATAATAATAATAAGTTTAATCTTTACTTTATTAATAATATTTAAGTAAATTATTTTTATACTTTAATTAACTTTTAACTTAAGAAAGTTTTCTTAGCAATTATTTTATTTAATAAATATTTTTACTTAAAAGCTTTTATAAAAAAAAAGTTTCTATTTTAAAGAAACTTTGCTTTAACATAATTAATATTATAATTCTTAATAAATTAAAAAAGATATAAATCTTATTATAAATAATAATAATACTTTATAAGATATAATTATTTAAAGTAATTATAAAATTTTTTAATAATTTTTTTAGCATTATTTAATAAGCTATAAATAATTAATTAACTTAATTATTTTTATTAAAGTTATTATTTAAATCTTTAATAAGCATAATATTATTTATTTAATAATAATAATGTTTTTTACTTTATTTTTCTTTAAAGATAAGTTATATATTAACTTTGCTTAAAGAATTTATAATGCTTATTATAAGCTATTAAAGACTTAATAAAATGCCCTTTTTATTATAAGCTGGCCATAAAGGGGCTGCAAGCTAGCTAGCGCCTTTTTCCATAAGCTAATTTTGCTAGCAACCTTATAGCTATTTAAGCTAAAAGGTACATAATAATCCAAGCTCCCTTGGATTACCTAGCCATATTATATAAGGCTTAGGCTTTTAGCCTAAGCTTATTATATAGCCCCTTCCTTTAAGGCTCCCTCCTTATATAATAATATAATTACCCCTAAAGCTTACCCACAATATTACCTTTTTAAGCCAAAGATCTTCTTTATAATTAAGTAAGATCATAACTTAAACTTTTAACCTTAAAGCTTAAATTATTTATTATAAGCTAGGCTTAAAAGGGCTGCAAGCTAGCTAGCGCCTTCTTTTATAAGCTAGTTTTGCTAGCAACCTTATAGCTATTTAAGCTAAAAGGTATATAATAATTCAAGCTCCCTTAAATTACCTAGCCACATTATATAAGGCTAGGCTTTTAGCTCAAGCTCATTATACTTTTAATTTAATTAATATTGCTAAATAAAATCTTTATTAACTAACTTAATATCTTTATTAAAATCCTTAATAAGGTTTAAATAATAATTACCCTTATAATAATTAAGAAAATTATTTAATAAGCTAAAATATATATTAATAAAATAATAAAGTAAAGCATTTATATTAACTTATAAATAATTATTTAATTATATAGCAACTTTACTTTCTTTTATAATTTATAAGTTAACCTAGCTATAATTAATAAGTTTAAAATAGCTTAAATTAAACTTATTAATGTTATAATTATGTAAATTATTATCTTTAACCCTTGAATTAATAAGCGCATAATTTATATAATTAAATAATAAGATAATAACTTTATTTATATTAATATAGCTAATAAAAAAGATAATATATGCTTTAATTATAATAAGCAAAGCTATTAAGTAAAAAATTATCATTTTAAGCTTAACTAGCTTAAAGCTTTTATAATACTTAATAATAGCCGCTTTATTATATTTAAAGGTACTTTATATAAAGATAATAAGTATATTAATTTAACTTTCCATTTATATAATATAATTTCTTCTTAGCGTAATAAAAAGCTCCGTTCTTAGCTTTTATTTAACCATAAAAATATTTATATTTATATTATTAATTTAAACTTAAATAATAAAAATAAAAAGCATTATAATTTAACTGCTTAATTTAATAATAATAATAATATTAATAAGCTATTTAATAATATTTTTAATAAATTAAACTATAAGAATTAAAATAGCTAAGGTATTTACTTTATAAAAGTAAGTATTAATAATTAACCGCTATTTATTTACAATAAACTAACTTACAAGGGTATTAATATCCCTTATAATATTTTCTAAGCTAGCTTTTTTAATAATTATAAATTTAATACCTTTTTTAATTATAATTTCGTTATTTATTATTATTTTAAATCTTTAGCGGCATAGCTTATTTTATATAATTTTTTTTATTTTGCTTATATAAAAGGCATTAAAAGTAAGGATCCTTACATTATTAAAGATATTTTTATAATAACTTATTTTATTATAAAAACTAGCCTTATAAGTTAATTTATTATTTTTTATAAAATTATCCTTAATAATACTTTTTTAATAAAATTAATATTTAAAAAGATAATTTTTTATTAATAAATAATTTATTATATTTTATAAAATATTATTTATTTATTTACATTTCTATTAGCTGGGTCACGTATTGCAATATAATGTTTAGTTGGTATAGTAATTAATTATTATTAATTATAAAAGGAAGAAAGGCAAAAAGCTTAATTATGCTAGCTATTTTATATGCAACATTAAGGCTGCTGCCTGCTAAGTATTTTAACGGGCTAAAGCTACCTAATCTTAAATAATCCTTTATATAAATAATATTTATTATTCCCATATTAATAATCTTTATTTTATAAATATATATTATTTTTAAAAAGTATAAAAGAAAGGAAAGTATTAAATTAAATTAAACTTAAAGTTAAGAAGTAATTAATTAATTATATATATAAGTTAAATTATAAATATATTATTATTTTATTATATTATATTATTATAAAAAGTAAGTATATAAAAAGGCTTAAGTTATTATTAAGGGGTTAAAGGTTAATTAATTTATTAAAGTATATAATTAATAAAAAGAGGTTAATTAAGTATATATATATATTAAAATATTTTAATTATATAAAGTTAAAAAGCTTAAAAGGTTGTAATTATTATATAAACGTTTTATTTATAATGTATTTTATAAACTTATGCTTTTATTGCTTATAATGCTTAAGTTAAATAAGAATTAAATTAAACCTTTAAATTATTAATATAATTATTTAATCTTTAAATAATTAAAATTTCTTAATTTAGCTTAGCTTAAGCTTTATTATGCTTAATATTGCTTATTAAATAAAGAAATTAAGGAATGTAATTAAAGGATAAATTATTAAAATAAAGGTTAATAAGTTATAAGAATTAATAAATAAGGTATTTAAATAAAGGGAAAGTAAGGTATAAGATAAAGATTATTAATTAAGTTAATAAATAGCAATACTTTTAATTTTAATATATAAGTATTAAATTATAAAATTTAATTAAGGATATTTATTAAATATAAGCTAGTAACTTAAATACTT